TCTATATCGTTCTTCAATAACCTTTGACTCACCAAATTTTTTTTCTCAACCCTTTCTCCGTGAAGAAGATGCAGAACCAAACAATTCTATTGAAGCAAACTCGTCCGCTAGCGGTTCGGACAGTCCCGGAAAAGATAATAATCCGCCCGCTATTGTTGAGATTAAAGGAAAGTCAGGCTCGTCGAATTCTTCTGTTACAATTGACAGAGATCCTAAGCTATTTGAAATCATTTTGAGATATCTTCGAGGCTATAATATATTTCCACTTTCTTCAGTCAACTTACCACCAGGAATGTCCCTTGACCTCTTTCGAGAAAGTTTATTAGAGGACGCACGGTTTTATCGTTTAGACCGGCTCGCACAACTTCTTCAGGCCGAAACACCTACACCGTTATGTTATAAAGATCCGTTTACATCAGCAGATAAGATCCTTTTATCCCTTCGCGATGTGCCAATTCACAAAGATTTCATCAAATCCAAACTTGATGGATCATCCACTATTGAATTCTTTACCGGAGCGGTGCTTACTATTGAACTAGAGCCATCAGAAGTCTCTATACGGTTTCATACAAAATTTTTAAACGAACAAGATCAAAAAGCTTTAGAAACATTGGGAGAGATTTGTGGAGAAAACTCACAAATTCAATTTTCAAGACAGCTTTACGCTAACATGCAAGATACGTTGAATGGCATACGATTAGAAATTGATGGGGTGCAGGTCACTGGTATGGACATTGCTTCCATAGAAGCTTATAATCAGAGTAATCAGAGGGTCAAGGCGTTAGAAGATATGTTTAGGATTTCTGGAGGTCAACGTTTAGTCATATATGCGCAAGAATTTGTTTTTAGACTGGATCGAATTCAACTTTCTACTATTGATGCAAACCAAATAAGTTCAGACACTATTGATAGTAATCAAAACTGTGATGATCCTGTTGACCTCAATGGCGTGATCCCTTCAGACAGCAATGGAATGAAAGTAGCTGTCAAAGATGGACAAGAATACATTGAACGTCCTAATGACGATGCCAATAGAACAAATACAGCTGAAGTGGATGATCGTGGTCATAATGAAGAGAGTAATATTAGTAGCGTAACGATCGAAAACAATAGCAACAATAATACAAACGAAGGTAATATGGTGTATCTTGGCGTTGTATGGGCTAAAGGTTGGACACAAGAATGGTGGGCATGGAATGAGTACAGAATGAAACTAGATGCTCTTCAATAATAGAATAAAAGAAATTGGATGAAGTTGACTGGTTATATATTATATAGTATATATATTTTTTAACTTTTGTATTTACGACCTATTTTATAGTCAAAAAAAAAAAATAAGGATATTTTATTCTTCTTATGATATTTTATTATATTATTTCATTCATTTATCAATTATTATATTCATATTATTTGTTTTCGTTCTTTTGCATACGCGACTTACGATTAAAAGAGGTATGATTATTCGCTTCATAATACACAAAAGAACCAACCAGTGACATAATGATTAAATTCTGGAGTGCGCTGTTTATTACATACAAGTATGTACGTACGCACATACGTACGCACGTACGTATTTATTTTTAGACCTTCCGATTGAAAAGTATAGTAATAGATGTCATAACGATCGATATATACATATTTATCGATATTAGCACTTACGTAAAACGGCATAATTCACAAGGCAATTTATAGGGGCGTGAGCTCCATTAATTGTCGCCTACATAACTCCATTAAATAAAAAAAATGTGATATTTAATTTTATTTTGCGTATCGATATAACATAAAAGTCCATAAAGTCCTGAAGGACAGAAAAAAAAGAAAAAGATTAGTATGGGCTTAGCCGGGAATTGAACCCGGGACCTCTCGCACCCTAAGCGAGAATCATGCCACTAGACCACCAAGCCACGATTACACCGTTAGTCTTATAATATTTATTAATAAATTTTTATAAACCAACGTAAAACGAACAGGCGATTTATTTAATCTCTCAATGCTAGCATATACGAAATTATATCAAGAGACAATCCCTTAATACGAGTTCTCTTTGTAGGATGGGTACCCTTATGTCAAGAAAATCCCGGGCTGAAGATCACTTCCGACCCTATCCGGATCCAATAAAATCACAGGATCTTGTGTAACAAACCAAACGCGAAAAACATACTATAAGAAATTGTAAAAAAACGTAAATAACACAAAAATTTATTATGATAACTAACTTCCAACCTCTAAATAAAAGTTCTCAGAATGAAATTTTACTCATAGGACACAATTGTTAATGCTAGATATATAGGGAATTTTTGAGATACTACGACCCATAT